ACATTTTTTTTTTATATAATAACTATGTGATGTCAAAAAAATATTTAAAATATGTTGATGGTCCAGATTTCTGCTTTCTGCAATCCAAATCTAGAGTCTACTAATTTTCTATAATTAGTTTAACTTTTCTTTATTAAAACAAATCAGGCACATGTAATTGTACCTCAGTAATTTTAAACTATAATAAAAACTAAAAAATGTTATGGTAGTTATTCAACTAGTTATAATTTATTGGTATGAATGAGTATTGTGATATTTGATGTAATAATAAACATGAAATATAAAATGATAATAATAATAGATATATTATAATTTATAATATTTAAAAAAAATACCCATTTATGGAAAAAATTCATACCGAAATAATATATTTAGTAGAAAAAATTTGTTCCTCTTACCAAAATAACATTAAGAAACAAATATCACCAGATAATTGATTATATCTTATAGTTGGTATAATCTGATTGTTAAAAATGTTCTAATTGCAAGATTTATTTTCYAGAAAAGTAGTGAACATTTAGACTAAAACCATTGGATTTTTTGGTAATTGAAGCATTATCGACTAAGCATATTTCCTGATTAACTGGTATCCCTAATATGCAAAATCAGCTGTATAAATAATTATTTGATCATACTAAACTAACATTAAGAGATGCCTTCTCTTTTTCCAATAAGGATTTCATATTTTCAATTTCGTTACTCAAATGATATATTTCTTTGTCTTTTGTTGACATAGTCTTGTTCAAATTACTTAATTTCTTTTCATATTTATCTATTTCTTTTTGTAACATGGTCATTTCTATATTTCTATGAGATAATTCTGACCTAAAAAATAAAATTTAATTGTAATAATACGTTTTTTAAGATTTTGTTCTTGTTAAGTACTCACGACACACTTTGTAAATTTATTTTTGAGAGATTTAAAGTTTTGGTAACTTCTTGTAGTTGTTCATTTAATTCTGCAACTTTGGCATGATACACAGTGTCTTGTTTGTGTTTTTGAAAAACACTATGAGCTCTTACTTTATATGCTTCAAATTCGTCAAGGAGACTTTGATTTTCTTCTGTGTATTTTGAAATAGACTCATTTGCTGTTTTTATTTCTACTTGCATTCGTCGAATCTGATTTTAATAAAAATTAAAACTATAAGACATCAATACCTATGATAATTAATATGAATTAAACTATTTTTACTTTTTCTGTGAGCTGTGAGTGTTGCAATTGATAGTTTTCTTTTTYAGTTTCATATAGTTTTTGTAATTCATCATATTTATTAGTTAAATTTGTATTTGATATATTTTCTTGATTTAAAGCTGCTTGGCATTCTTTTAAATGATTTTCTTTTTCGTTTAATAATGACTCAGCATTATTCA